GAGAAGACACTCTTCCTCTTTGGACTCTGTCCACGAGCACTCTCCAGGAGGGCACAGGCATCATCAGAGGAATGATACTGATGCCACATCCATCCGGAGAAAAAACCTGCAATTTCCTCTGGGGTCATGTTGGTCCTGCTCCGCACAGACCTTACCGGGTGAAATGTTGTGCCGAGAGTGTCTCAAAGAGGTGGCCAGAGACAAGGAGACTGACTCCCTGGAGATCAAATCTTACATCTACCAGGCCGTGCAGGATAGCCTACAGGATCTACTTCCTTCAATAGCCTCCTCCTCTCAGCACGCGACTAGAGCATCTACATCATCCAGACCTACAGAGCTCCCAGATGAGGGTGAGATCTTGTCAGATGGATCATCTGCATCAGACGCACAAGGTCTGCATTCCTTTGATTTCAACCTCATTTTGCCTTTCATCGCGGCAATTAAGGAGGCCATTGATTTGGAAGGAGTTGATCCCCCTAAGAAGAGAGCAAAATATTTTCCAGGCCTAAAGAAGGAGGGTCCTACATTTTCGGTCATGCCGGAGGTTAAAGATCTGATTGAAGAAGAATGGGAGCAGCCGGACAAGAAGCTGAATTTTCAGAACCGTTTTTTGAAACTGTATCCCTTAAATGCGGCCAATACGGCTCTTTGGGATAAACCACCAGTTATCGATGTGGCCTTGCAGGCTTTAGCGCGTCATGTGGCTCTCCCACTAGACAACTCAGTGGCCTTTAAGGATGTGATGGACCGGCGGTTGGATGCTGATTTAAAGAGGATTTACTCCACTGCTGGATGGGCCCTGCAGCCCGCTTTAGCATTGACATTGCCCTGAAGGTATGGGTATCTAATGTGGATACAGCACTCAAAGCTGGTGTTGACAACACGCAAATCCTGGCAGCACTAGAGGAACTAAATTTATCTGCAGATTTTTTGGCCGAATCCTCCATTGACTTGGTCCGCCTCTCGTCCAAGTTGATGGGCCATTTAGTTACCCCCAAGAGGGCATTGTGGCTGAAACATTGGACCCCAGGGTTCTGCCTCAAAACAGGCATTATGTGCTATTCATTTCAACGTGAAGAGTCTGTTTGGGAAGACACTGGACGACGCGATTAAAAGAGTGACGGGTGGCAAATCAGGTCTGCTTCCACAGACCTATAAGCGCAGACAGCAGCCCTTTCGGGCCAACCAGGGTTCGCAGAGATTTAAGGATGCCCGGACCTACCGGCCAGGTAGGCAGTTTTCCAGACCTCAGTGGAGAGGGGCGCAGTCGTCCTTGTTGCGAGACATCAAGTCAAAGGCTGGTCAGGCGCCAAAAACTCTGAATAAACAGTTCTGAAGGTGTGCACACCCAGGAGGTTCCAGTGGGGGCCAGGCTGGGGGCCTTCAAGGAGGCCTGGGTGTCGGAAGTACAGGATGTATGGGCAAAAAATATCGTAACCAAAGGGTATCGGCTGGAATTCAAGTCTCTCCCTCCGTCTCATTTTGTGAACACCTGGATTCCGCTGGAGCAATCGAAAAGAAGATTGCTTCTTGATTATGTCTCAGAGTTGCTTATGAAGAAGGCTATCGTTCCGGTGCCAAAGGAAGAATGGGGTCGGGGGTTTTATTCCCCGATCTTCCTTGTCAAGAACGCCTCGGGAGGCTTCAGGCCGGTGTTGGATTTGAAGAAGCTGAATGTGTTTATTCAGGTGAACCCCTTCAGGATGGAGTCAGTCCAGACGATAATTGCGGTGGTCCAAGCCGAAGAGTGGATGATCTCCATCGATTTAGAAGATGCGTACCTCCATGTGCCGGTAGCAGAGTGGCATTAGAAGTACCTGCGGTTTGCGGTGGTGGGGCAGCATTTTCAGTTCCGCGTCCTGCCATTTGGTCTGTCCACGGCCCCACGGACCTTCTCCAAGATGGTGGTGGCGGTGGTGGCACTTCTTCGGCTTTGGGGGATCAAAGTGTTTCACTACCTGGACGACATCCTAGTCTTAGGAAAGTCGAGGCGAACTCGTGTTGGCTACCTTGCTTCGGTTCGGATGGCTAGTCAACTTCCGGAAAAGTCAGCTATTCCCATCACGGAGGATGGAGTACTAGACTCTTATCTTGTGAGGGTGTTCCTCCCGGACCGCCGAAGGAGAGAGATTGCAGCGTGTGTCAACAGAGTCATCACCTTACCAGTATTACAGGCCAGAGACTGCATGGTGCTTCTCAGGATGATGACCTCCTGTATCCCCGTGGTGACTTGGGCAAGATGGCACATGCGCCAGATGGCACATGCGCCAGTTACAATCTTGTTTCCTGCAGCAATGGAACCGGGTTGCATTGTCTCAAAAGATCTTTCTGCCCTCATCAATGCGGAACAACTTGTCCTGGTGGAGGGACTCTCCGTGCCTCTCTCAGGGTATGCTGAGCCTGGGTTCCTGGATCACAATTACCACCGATGCCAGCCTCCAGGGATGGGGAGCACATTGTCTGGACCATCAGGTGCAGAGTCGCTGGAGAGGCCCGGTGACACCACAATCGAATTGGTTAGAATTGAAGGCGGCCTCTCTAGCTCTCTGAGCCTTTCAACCTCTACTACAACACAGACAGGTCAGGATTATGATGGACAACAAAACAGCTGTATCATACATTGTGAGGCAAGGGGGACCAGGAGTTTCCCTCTGCTGTGCCTCTTGAACGAGATTTTTTCATGGGCAGAACAACATGTTCAGGCCTTGACAGCAACCTACCTGCCAGGAGCGGACAACATACTAGCGGACCGCTTGAGCAGGATTTTTCCGAGCAACAACGAATGGGGGCTGAATGCGAAGTACCTGAGACCAGTGTTCCAGAAGTGGGGCACCCCATTAATTGACTTGATGGCCACAGCACAGAATGCGAAGGTGCCCTGTTTTGTCTCAAGACACGGCTGTCGGGAGGCAGTGACGCAGGATGTGTTCTCAATCACATGGGACTTTCCACTGGTTTATCTGTTTCCACCGTTACCGTTGGCCCTCAGGGTACTCCAGAAAATACGGCAAGACAAGGGAGCAGTTATTTTAATCCTACCGTTTTGGCCGAGGAGGCCATGGTTCCCACTCTTACAACGGATGGCGATGGCCCCCCCATGGTTCTTTCCAGGCAGGCGGAATCTACTGGTGCAGGATCACTCACAACACCCAAACCCCAAGAGGCTCCATCTAGCAGCATGGATGCTGAATCCTCAAGGTGGAAGAGTCAAGGATTGTCGGCAAAGGTGATAGAGACCTTGATGCGGTCTAGAGGTTCATCAACTTACACCACTTATTCCAGGATTTGTAACAAAATTCGGGAGTTTGCGGAGCAAAATAATTTTTCACCATTGCGGGCAGAACTGCCTAATGTTCTAGGATTTTTACAGTCGGTCCTGGATGCGGGCCTAGCCTACAACTCTTATTTTGAATACAAATTTCAGCCTTGTCAGCATTCATGGGAATCAAATGGGCAGATGATCCTCTCTTGCGAAGATTAACGAGAGCGGCCCTAAAGTTACGGCCTCCTAGGAAGGCTCTGTTCCCGTCCTGGGACCTGGACTTAGTCTTGGCTGCCTTAGCAGCTCCACCATATCATCCTCTGTCGCAGTGCACCCTATGGTACCTTACACAGAAGTTACTTTTTCTCATTGCCATCACATCTCCGAAGAGTCTCCGAATTGGCGGCTCTTTCATGTAAAGAGCTGTTTTGTGTGTTATTGGCCGATAAAGTGGTGTTACGGCCTCCACCAGAGTTCAGGCCGAAAGTGGTCTCTTCATTTCATTCAGATTGGGAAATAATTCTCCCAGGGTGTAAGAGTCTGGGCCAGTCTTCGAATTCGGATTTATTGCCGGCTCTGGATTTAGTCGAACTCATGAGGGAGTATCTTCATAGAACGGAAGTGTTTCGCAGATCTGATCGACTGTTCATCTTTTCAAAAGGATCAAAACGAGGTTTTACACACCTCCTAAAGTTTTGTCTATGTGGATTCAGTCTGTCGTCAAAGCAGCATAGGTGCAGCAGGGTCTTACTCCTCCGGCGGAAGTGCGAGCCCACTCGACGAGGGGAGTGGCGACGTCCTGGGCTTCATATGCCAGGGTCTCGATAGAGGACATATGCAAGACGGCGAGGTGGAGCTCACAGAACACTTTTGTTAGGCACTACAGGTTGGATGTGGCAACCGCCAGATTGGCCAGATTTGGAACGGCAGTCCTTTCATGTGCCTTGTCACAATAAATATTTTCTATTTTTGCAGTATTATGTTTCTGAGGGTGTTTTCCTTATTATGGTTGTTTGTCCCCGCCCTTTGGGGATTATGCTTGTTATATCCCGTATTCTGTCGACATGAGGTGAGCCAGCAATATGGAAAATTGTTATCACACTTACCGTAATTTTCATTCCTGGCTCATCCTCATGTCGGCATGCATTCCCTTCCCTGGTTGTATATATATAGCTATCAATCATACATTTATATAATTGCAAGCTAAAGAAAAAAGCATTAAAGTTTCCCTTTATTAAATGTTAAATCTATTATCAATACCCCGTTAGCATTGATCATTTTCATGTATTAAAATTAAAATCTACTTGCTAGCTTGATTCCTTTATTCAGTTTTGCATATGATTACTCTTATGCTCACCCGTCAAGCTAATTCTTACAGTAATAATAAAAAAAAGTAATATCTCTACATAAAGCTTGCTAACTGATACTTTAAATTCTGTTTTGCTCCCATTTCTTTCTGTAATATAATAAATCCAAGCAAAAATTGTTTTGAAGGATACATTATATGACAACAGTAACAAAATAGTTTACTGTAATGCACACTCAATGATTGTACATTCTGCAGATCATTCTGACACTCTTAAAATTAGAAAAACAGCAATTTGTATTTAAAAACAATTCTTATACAATTTATTAATATAACTGTGCAGGTTTTTTTTTTTTTTTTT